AATTTAGAGGCGATGATACAGGAGCAGCAGGAAACCCTAAGCGAGAAGGACAAGGTGATCGAAGCACGCACAGAGGCTGTGTCCCTCATTGCCAAGTCTCAGGAAGAGAAGGGAAGGAAAACATTTGAGGAGCTAGAGGAAATGAGACTGCAGATGAAGAAAATGCAGGAAAACTTCATCACTAAGGAGCAGGAGTTCATCTCCACTAGAGATTCTTTATCAAGAGAGCTGAATGACAAGGCGAAAAAGGTTACGCAGTTAGAAGAAAACAACCGCCGTCTGGAAAATCTCCGCTTTGAGCTGAGCACCAGGAATGCCGAGCTTCAAGAAAAAATTGTGACGCTCCAGACAGATGTGAAGGCGCTTAGAGACCAGTCTGAAGGAGACAGGGCATCCATCTCGGAAAAGGACAACCTGTTACAGGAACTCAAGCAGAAGCTGGTGAGAGCTGAGGCTCATGGCCAGAAGAAGCTCAAGGCCTTGGAGAAACAAATCAGGGCTATTAAGCAAGATGGCAATGCAGGAGCACAGATCTTGGAGCTTCAGAATAGTATAGCTGAGCTAGAAGAAGAAAAGGGAAACCTTCAGCTGAAGCTTGTTGATTTTGATGACTTAAAGGTCGCCAACGAAAAGCTAACCAACCAGAGAAGTAAGCTTGAAGAGCAAGTGAAGCAACTCAATGGTGACATAGACTCACAGCTTAGTGCTATAACACAGCTGGAGGCAGAGAAGATCAAGCTGGTGGAGGAAACGAACGAACGAGAGAACCGCATCTTCGACCTAGAGTCAGAATTGACAACGACCAAGACAAGCCTCTCAGAAGTCACGCAGGCCAAGGTGACCCTAGAGCTTCGTCTGTGCGAAATAGAGGAACAGAGGGACCTAGCAGAGAAGGCCAGGTCAGAACTCGAATCCCAGATGTCTGAGTCAGGGATGGCCTCGGTGGAGCAGCTGCTGGTTGAAAAGGGCAGCCTTGAGGAGACGATACAGAGTCTTACCAAGGAGAAGGAGGAATGGGAGAGCAAGCATGCCAGCCAGGTTGACACAGTGCAGGAATGCGAAGAGAAGGTCAGATCCGCTTTGGAAGCAAGGGAGTCCAAAGCCAAGGAATGCAAAAGACTCATGAACATCCTTACGGACAAAGAGAATGCCATTGCTACCTTATCCATACAGATCGACAGGCACAACGAGGAAGTGGCCAGCATCTCAGAGAAGTTGAAGTCATCTCAAGCGGAAATTGAGAAGAGACAATCAGAACTAGAAGAGCTGAGGCACAAGCACCAAGAGGAGACCAAGAGGTCGCAAGAGGCATTAGGAACTGTAACCAGCTTGGAGGAAGAGCTGTCTTCCCTTCATTCCCAAAAGCAGTCTATCCTGGCAGAGTTGGAGTCAGCCAGAGAAAGCATGAACAGAGCCATTAATGAGAAGAACATCACAATCCAAAACCTTGTAGGAGAAGTATCAGACCTTCAGAATCATGTTAAGGCCAAAGAAAAGGTTATTAATGATTATATAGATAGATTAGAGCAAATGGAATCACAGGTGAACATAAGAGATGAGAATATTGAGTCACTCCATTCGACTGTTATAAAAATGCAGGAAGATTTATCCAAGAAGAATGCAGAAGTAGAGAAATTGAAAAAGGAAGTTTCTAACTCACTCCAAGAGTTACAGTCCTCTAAAACAACTTCAGAATTTGAATTAGACTCTATGTCAGCCATGCTAAATGATGCAAAGAGTCAGTTGGAAGGTGCACAGATGGAATTATCTGTGAAAGACCGAGAGATCCAGAATAACCAAAAAGTAATTTCAAAATACGAACAGGAAATGTGTGAGAAAAATCTGATTTCTGACGAATTCCAGGCTAAAGTCAAGAGCCTGGAGGCAAACTTAACATCTCTTAATGCCTCTCTTTCAGAGAAGGAGATGGTAATTGTAAACCTTCAAATGGAACTTGAAGAAAAAACCATGTATGTGGAGAACCTGTCAGCCCAACAGCAGGGGTTAGAGCAAAGATTGCATCACCTACAGGAGGAGAATGCATCATTGATAGAAAGAAGCACAGCAACAGATGAGGAACTGAACAACCTGAGGGTGCAGATGCAACTGAAGGAGGAAAGTGTGTCAAATCTTGAGTCTGAAATGATCTCAAAAGTTGACCAGCAGAGCAGAGACTTTGATGAGTTAAGACAAACACTGACAGAGAAAGAACAATACATAACCACAGTGGAGGCAACACTAGAAAGCCTTAAAAATGACATTGCCACTAAGGCTTCCGAGCTGGAGAAGTGGGAGAGTGAAGCCTCTGAAAAGAATGAGAAAATCAACCTGTTGACTACACAGCTTGAGAGCGTTCAGTTGCAAAGTTCTGAGAAGGATGGCATTGTGAGTGATTTGCACACTCAGCTGAGCCAGTATCAAGAACATTTGAGTGCAGCACAGGATCAGTATACCCAGGTGAACACCCAGTTTGTGCATCTACAGGAACAGTTTTCAGTGAATGAAAAACAACTTTCAGAAACAAAAGAGCAGTTAACTGAAACTCAGAGTCACTTTGAGCATGTGCAGAATCAGCTGGCAGAGGCCCAGGAGCAGCTGGCTCAAGCGCAAAACCAGCTGCAGGAGACGCAAGTGAATTATGAGAAGGCCACCAGTCTAGCCTCCCAGTTTGAAGAGCAGCTTCGCACTAAAACAGAAAACATTGAAACCATGGAGAGACAGATGCATAGCCAACAGGATGTGACTAGTCAGGAATCAGAAGCATTGAGAGTAGAGTCAGAGCACCTTAGAGCAGAAGTTGACAGACTGAATTCAGAGCTAACCTCAGCAAGAGAACTCAACCTAAGCCTAGAGTCAGGAAGCTCAAATGCCCAGCAATGGATCACTCACCTGCAGCAGGAGGTGGAACACCTGAAATCAACCCATGACACAGCGCAACAACAGCTGTTAGCCACCAAGGAAGAGCTAAATTCAAGAGCTCTTGAGCTCGAACAGCAAAAGCAAAAGTTTGAAGAGGTTCTTGCCCAACAGCAGGAGTACATCCTAAAATCAGAGGACCTTCAGACTAAGCTTAATGAATCCGTCTCCCTTCAGCAGCAACAACAGCAGAAAGCTGAGTCTCTGCAGATTCAGCTCACACAGGCTGTGTCCCTACAACAGCAAAGTGAGAGTGAAGTAGCCGCTCTGTCTCTGACACAGCAGCAGCACATTTCAGACTTAGAAGCCAGTGTCTTGTCTATCACACAAATGAGAGACCAGTTGCAAGAAGAAAGCAACCAGAAATCCATGCAGTTGCACAGTTTTCAAGAAAATTCATCACAGCTACATTCCGAGATGGAAAATCTTCGTTCACAAATTTCATTAAAAGATGAAGAAATTCAGAAGTTGCAAGCTGACAGGGACCAAATTTCTATGCAGTTAGAGAGCCAGGCAGGAAATGCTTCCCAGTATGATGCAAACACCCAGCATCTTTATTCTCAGCTTTCTCTGAAAGATGAAGAAATACAGAGAAATCTCATAGAGTATGAAAATGAAAAGAGCAAAGCAGAAAACCTCATTAAAGAACTGAACAATGCAAAAGCACAGTTGGAGCAGGAGCTTCAAGCTTTACAGTTCACCAGCTCACAGCAGCCCCCTGCACCTTCAGCGACAGGATCAAACTCTGGCCAGAGAGACAAAGAGTTAGCTGCTGCTAATGACCAAATCCAGTTCCTAGAAGAGGAATGTGATGGGCTTCGCACGGATGTTAACACATTGAAGCAACAGCTTCAGGAAGCCCGACAGACGGTCACACAACTACAAACATCACTGGCGAACCAGACCTTCTCTGCACCAGAGCCCTCAACTGATTGGGAAGATTGGGGCGAGGTAGATCTTGGGGCCCCTGAGTCAGCCAAGGCTCCAACACAAGAGAACTCACTGGTTTTGAGTCTCCAGAGGTCCCTGGCTGACAAGGACGAGATGCTCACCATGATGCAAGACCAGCTCAAGGAAATGCTGCAGCAGATAAACACCATTACAGAAGAGAAGAAGATTTTGGATCAGCAGCTCAAAGCGGCAGAATCGAATGCCACCCAGCAGGCAAAACTCTGGGATAAAGAAAAGGAAGAGCATGAGACAGTGAAGACCAAACTGGATGAGCTACTGGGGCTTCAGAACTCCTTTGAGGAACAGAAGACAAAGGTAATGATGTTGGAAGAACAGCTGGCTAGAAAACAAGAGGAAATAGCACAGTTGCAACACCAGACAGCTGAACTGCCCATGCAGCGGGAGACTGTACAGGCTGTTTCCGAAAATGTCACACTGTCTTCGTCAGTTGAGGAACAGAGCTCCGTGGAAGGAACCCTCACTTCACAAATCCAATGGAATCAGGGAGAAAGTGGAGCTGATGCATTCTCCTCCATTCAGTGGCCAGAGTCCAGTGGAGGCCAGGGAACAGCTGATTGGTTTGCCAGCCAAGACGGTCAGCAATCTACTACTGTAGCCTCAACAGAAGCAGGAGCAGCAGTCACCCAGCCAGAAGCAGAAACAGGAGTCACCCAGCCCAGCCAGGGAGACACTGCAGCTGTAAACGTTGAGGAGTTGCAATTTAAGCTTTCATGGTACGAGGAGCAATGGAGCACCTGGACGGGGCACTACACCCAGTTGCAGGAGAGTTATCAGGAAGCTCAGCAGCAATTAGCTCAACTTACAGAGCAACTACAACAGTTGCAGAGCACACAGCAGCTTCCAGAAGCAGCAGCAGAAGTAGCACCAGTGGCAGCATCTGAGGAAAAACCCACATCAAAAGAGGAGAAAGAAAGGTTAAATGAGACCATCCTACAGCAGCAAGAGCAGCCAGTTTGTGCAGCATGCTGGAAAACCCACTAAATCAAAAGAGGAGAAAGAAAGGTTGACCGTCTGAGAAGCTTCGAAACCCAGGTGTACGAGCTTCAGAGGCCAGTTGCAAGCAGATTCAGCATCAAGGTCTGAGGTCTGTCTGCTCTTCTATCTCTTTCTCTCTCTCTTCTTCTTTCTCTCTCTCTTTCTTTCTTTCTTTCTTTTCTCTCCTCTTCTCTCTTCTCTCTCTCTCTCTCTCTCTCTCTCTCTCTCGTCTCTCTCTCTCTCTCTCTCTCTCTCTCTCTCTCTCTCTCTCTCTCTCTCTCTCTTCTCTTTCTCTTTCTTTCTCTTTCTTCTCTCTCTTTCTTTTTCTTTCTCTTCTTTCTTCTTTCTCTCTCTTTCTTTCTTTCTTTCTCGCTTTCTTCTCTTTCTCTCTTCTTTCTCTCTCTTTCTTTCTTTTCTTTCTCTCTTTCTTTCTCTTCTTTCTTTCTTTCTTTCTTTCTCTCTCTCTTTCTTTCTTTCTTTCTCTTCTTTCTTTCTTTCTTTCTCTCTCTTTCTTTCTTCTTTCTCTCTTCTCTTTCTTCTCTTTCTTCTCTCTTCTTCTCTCTCTCTTTCTTTCTCTTTCTTCTTCTTTCTTCTCTTTCTTTCTTCTTTCTCTCTTTCTTTCTTCTTTCTCTCTTTCTTTCTTTCTTTCTCTCTTTCTCTCTCTTTCTTTCTCTCTTCTCTCTCTCTCTCTCTCTACTCCTCTCTCCTCTCTCTCTCTCTCTCTCTCTCTCTCTCTCTCTCTCTCTCTCTCTCTCTCTCTCTCTCTCTCTCTCTCTCTCTGTGTGTGTGTGTGTGTGTGTGTGTCTGTGTGTGTGTGTCAAATCCTATATAGTTTATTTTGCCTTTATGGCTCTATTTCTTTCACTGTTGTTAAATCTGTTTTTAATGCCTTTTTCGGTATACTATCATGTAATTATTCTTTATATTACATTGTATTTCCTCACTCTATTTACAGTGCACAGCAATGCAGGGCAAGCTCGCTGAAGCAGAGACAGAGAGGACAAGGCTCATGGAGATCGAGGTCTTGTATGGAGAATTGCAGTCATGCATCCAGGAGTCAGAGACGAAGCGCGAGGGCTCCAAGTCTCGAGTGCAAGAGCTGGAACTAATGGTGCAGTCAGCAGAGTCGGAAATTGCCAGGTTAAGGAATGAGATCGAGAGTTTGAGCCAGGCAAGTGAGGCAGTGGAGACTGACAGAGAGAGACTCAAGACTGATGCTCAGGGGCTGGGAGCAGAAGTGACGTTGCTCGACGAGAAAATTGCTAGCTTGCATGATGAGGTTAAGTTATACAGGAACGAGAACGAGAGACTGAAAAATGAGGGAGAGCTCTACAAGGCTGAGGCAAAGAATTTGCAGAAGGAGGCCCATTGTTTCAAGGAGGAACTTACAAAGATGCAGAGTGAGGTAGATTTTTATAAGGGCAATGCAATGAGAATGGAAAGTGATAATAGAGAGATGAATGAGGAAATCACAAGAACTAGAATGAGTGTTGATAGAATAGAAAGGGAAAATGAGCAGTTAAGGAGTGAACTCGAGGTGATTGAAGGAGAGCATGGGAGACTGAGACAGGACTATGAAATCCTTGAGGGAGAGCATAATCGTGCAAGAGGGGAGAGTGACATGCTCTCGCAGGCTAACCAAATGCTGGAGGCAGAGAAGGAGAGTTTGGAGAACGAGGTGCAGAGAATAACTGCACAGAATATGACTAAGGATGCAGACAGTGAACACCTCCGGGACGAGATCCAGAGACTGACAGAGGTGAGCACCTCTGCCGAATCAGAGATCACTCGCCTCAGGTCTGAGATTGAGAGATTCAAATCCCTGGACTCCCAGTACAGTGAACTGGAGATGAAGTACTGTGACTTACAGGCACAGGTTGCTTCGATGGAAGGTCTGCCTGGCAGCAGAACTGAGACTGAAGCACATGCATTGGTTGTTGAGGAAGTGGATTGGGGCGCAGAAGGCAAGATTGAGCATGAGCACCTTTTGCAGTCGTCATCTGCAGATCGCAAACTCCAAGAGGAGATAGATAACCTGAAACAGAAGTTAATAGCACTAGAGAAGGAAAAGAATGCCGTCTATGATGAGCTGCAGACAGCCAAGATGAAGAGCGGGAAGATGCTGCAGAAGTTGAAAGTAACACAAAGCAAGAATGAGTCTTTGACCAAGGAAGTGCAGAAGCTTAAGGCCAAAGCAGGTGGCTTTTCAGACCTTGACCAGGCTCTGGAGGAAGAGTGGAAGGCACAAGTATCAAAGGCTGAGTCTGAGAGAGACGAAATCAAGCAGAAGTTAGATGAGCTCGAAAAAGAAAAGGATAACCTTGCAACGCAGGTAGATGTCCTCACCGCAGCCCAGGAGCAGTACCTAGACCTCAAGGAAGAGCAAGATACAACAATAAAGCTCCTAAATGCAAGGAATCGAGAGCTTGAAGGTCAAGTCCAGTCCCTAGAGTGGAAGATCTCTGAGCTGGAAGAAATAATCGAGCAGACTCCATTAACACAACAGGAGCCAGCTGCTACCATATCAGAAACTCAGACTGCAAGGTCAGGAAGCCCAGGATCTCCTAAAGAACTAGAAGAATTAAGAGTACAAATCACTACACAGCAAGAAGAGCTCAACATTCTGAAGCCAGAGAACATAAGGTTGCAGGCAGCCATAAATGAACTCGAGGAGAAGGTGGAAAACCTAAGCGCTGATAATGAAAACTTCCAGTCCATCATTGAAGGGCTGAAAGATTCCAAGTCAAAGGCAGAAAGCGAAGTTAATAAGTACAAAGAGTCCTTCATCGAACTTCACGACCAGCATGAGGCCACCAAGAAGGAGAAGGACCAAAGCAACGCACAGCTGAAGGAACTCCAGTACACGCACGACACGCTGAAGTCTGCCTACAACTCCATGTTTGCTGAGTACAATGAACTGCGGGATGTGTGCGACAGCCATAAGAGTGACGTGGGCATCCTGAAGGGGGAGAGGGATCGTCTAGCAGAAGAAGTGGACAGCCTCAAGAAGCAGTTGCAAGCTCTGCAGGAGGAAGAGGAGGAGGAGATCATACGTGCCTTACAAGATGAGTGCTTCAGCCTTAGAGAGCAGAATAACCTGCAACATGAGGAGGTAAGGATTGCTGCAATAAAGATATGAGAGATAGAGTGTTTGTTCTTTCTTTTGTTTTTCTTTCTTCTCTGAGGTGAGTTCCAATGTCTACAACAGGAAATTGACTTGTATTTTGTGTATTTTATTATGAGGAGTAAGCTTTGGAAAGAAAATTTTCTTGTTCACCTTTACTCTTGATCCTTTGTAGATAAATTAAGCTTTAGCACAGTAATTATTCTATGGTGATAGCTTTGACATATAGAAAATTCATCCTGTATTAACATGACAATCTTCCCTCTCACCCATCCCCAGAACACAGCCCTGGAAGTGAAAGCAGAGGAGGCGCGGGAGAAGGCCAAGCGGTTTGAGAACGCCATGGAGCAGAACATGGAGATGCAAAACCTTCTGCGTGATGAGCTCATGAAGAAGTCGGAGGAAATCAGCTACCTGAAGACGACCCTGGAAGCTGAGGACCGCAAGATGGCCTACATGAAGGCAGAGATGTCAGCTATCAAGACCAAGCTGATGCAGCAGGACCAGGCTGAGCGCAGCAGCACCCAGGCCACAGAGAAGCTGGAGGCTGAGGTGCAGCAGCTGCAAGAACAGAACCAGCAGCTCAGGAGCCAGGTTGGTGCCAGTGTGTTTGTGTTTCAGTGAAAGCCTACTGTCTTCTACTCGTCTTTTCTTCACTAATATCTTTGTTTTGAATTACCTAGCCCTTCCTTGTTTATATTATGTTTTATTTTTTTTTTTTTTCTATGACATGTTAGGGATCTCTTTCTCTAATCCTTTCACCTTCCTATGGCCATGTTTATTCTTATTCTTTTCCTTATTGATGTAGACATACATTATGGACTTCGTATTGGCCTAATACTGATTCTTTACTCTCCAAGGTGGAGGCAGCAGAGACTTCCCTGGCCAAGCTGGCAGGAAAGACAAAAGGAGAGGAGGAAGAAAACGATTCTGTGTTCGCTCCTCCATCCTCGTCCAATGCTGAGCTGGAGGCAGCTTTAGCTTCGCTACACCTGCGTGACCTCAGGTGCCAGCAGCTGTCCTTAGAAATCACAAAAGTATGTAGGGAGATTAGGTGCTGCTGTTGTTGTTTTTATCATTATAGTTATTGTTAATGAATTTTTTTGATTTGTTGTAGTGAAGGCATTATCAGTTAAGATTTTAATTTTATGATAATTATGAAATCAAATGAGAGATTACTTACATATGATGTAAGTGTTAGAAAGAGTACTCATTAAAAGTTTTTGGAAATATTTCCATTTGCATTTTTTGTCACTTGCCCATACACAAGGAAACGCATTTTTAACATGTTTCTTTCTCTTTTTCTCACTTCTCTCATTTTCTCATACTCTTTCTGTTTTGTTTCTTTCCCCCATTTAATTTCCTGATCTCTGACCCTGACTCTCCCCTCCTATCAACTAGCTATTGGAAGAGAGAGATGCGCTGCAGCTAAAGCTGAGTGCATCGCTGAGACAGACGCAGGAACTTCGTCGAGAGCTGAGCTTGAGCCACCAGCTGCCAGCGCCTGTCTCTGCCGAGCCCTCCTTAGACGAGAAGTGCGATTTCTTTTTTCTTTTTTTTAGTTGTTTAAAGTGGAATATTGTTGATATTGTATGAAGTTGATTTTTCTTGGGTTGGCTAATTTCCATTGTGTTATTACTTTGTTTGATTGCTAAAAAACAGTTGTAAACTGTATAAATTTTTATTTAGTGTACAGTACACTCATTTGTGTGGGTGGGTGGATGGGGGGGGAATCTTTGATATAATTATAAATGTCACTAGGAATTTTCAACACTATTATATATTCATATTGTGTCATTATTAAAGAGTGTTTCTCATGATCTACTATACCTTCAAGCAAAGCACTTCGCTTCCCATGCCTCTCAAGAAAGCGCTATGAACCTTCATATGCAGTTGCCTAAACCACATTCCTCTCTCCTCCAGGCTGGGCTGTTGAGTTGAACGACTCGCTGGAACAGAAGGCCCTCAAGGCTCTCCAAGGCGCAGCATCCCCTGTGGCGTCAGGCAGGAGAACAACCCTGGGTAGTTTCCCCCCCTCGCCACCCACCTTCGCCCCCCACACCGCCCTCCCACCCCCACAGCCACCAGACATGCCGATTACACTCTCAGTAAGGACGGGATTCATGTTTTTTGTTGCTTTTACATATTTACTATATGTTATGATCCTTATAGTATGGTGTAAATATTGTTACTGAGGTAAATTATTGTTTTACTTATATGGAAAGTTAATAAGAAAATTAGTCTTGATTAGATATCGTTTTTATTGTTATTGTCATCCGCTTTATTATCATTATTTTCATTGTTATTTTCATCATCTATTATCACAATGATAATTGTTATTGTTTTTGTTTTTTGTTACTGTTGTTTGTAGTAGTAGTAGTAGTTTTTTAGTACAGTTATATAGTACTCTCAATGTAGTTATTATGTATTATTTCCTTACTGGGAACTCCAAAACAAATAATTTGCATGGAGAGATGTCCGCTGTTTTGATCACTGATTAGTGCGACTGCAGTGATGGATTTAGTTTTTTTCTTCTTCTTTTTTAGCTTTTCTCACCATCTTCCTAGATTTATCTCATTTATGTCCTATGCTCTTCTGATCATTGCCTAGTATGGCTGCATTGATGGAAATCTCCCCGCAGCCTCTTATTGCATCTCGTCTGCAAAGGCTTTATCTCTCTTATGGTTTTAGTTGCTTGTAGGTCCATGGCATTTCTGTTGCAGGCAATGAAATAATTGTAAATTGGTATAACATTAGTATTTTAGTGTTCTTGCTGCTTCAGCCTTCCTTGCCTGTTTTAGGTTTGGATATCTAATATTCAGTGAGAGATAGACTAGAATGAAGACTTTTTTTTTAACCCAACATAACATACATAGGTGGAAAAAAATGGTACATTATCCTTTACAGTTGTAAAAATTAGCCCTTCTGTTAATTCTAGGTCTAGATGTTTTGCTTTTATATCTTTCTTTCTTTCTTTTTCTTTTCTTCCTTTTTTTTTTTTCTTTTTCTTTCCCATTAGGATAACCCAACTCAGCTAAGTCTAACCAGTACCAATCCTATCACAAATTGCCATAAGTGAGATTCAGTTCGGAATTACTGACTGTAGTATCCTCCCTAATGTTAGTGTAATAGATAGTGCCATATACCGTATTATAGCTTGAAGTAATAACTATTGACCTGTAGGCCTAATCATATGATTTGAGAAAAGGAATTGAATTCAATGTATATTATAGACAGCATGCATGTATGTGATATGACTGTAATGAACCAACATCTTGAAATTATTATATTTATGGTAGACAGTAAGTCAGAACTAGAATTATAAGTTCTAAGAAGGAATGATCATAGATTGTATTGATAATAGCAGGTCCATGGACCTTTATGAATAGCGTTTTGTGCTTGTGCTTTTGCATGTATTAATGTTTCTCCCTGTGTTTATCATTCCAGCATGTAGATGTTAGGGTAAGCTTATTGCTAGGTTTTTATTTATTGGATCATAGAATGACTTAGTTGGATTAAATCTTTTATGTGCACTTGTAGATGGGCAGATAGATTTGTGCACGTAAACTGATTGATAGGTACATATGTGTAACTTAATACCTTGTACCTGAATGTATTTATGTATGTTGATTTGTGGAAAATGATATTTGCCATTTATGATAAATGTAGTCACAATCACACATATTGATAGATAGATAGACATATAGGTATTGAGATATCAGTATATCAGAATTGATAGATGCATAAGTACCATATGTTCTTCTAATTTGCTTATGTTCAATATAGCTTGCCTGCTTGAATTTTAGGCCTGAATTCAGATTATTGGTTTATCACAAGCGCACTTTACATATTTGGACACTTTTAGCCTACCACTTTTGCCTGTTGAGGAAGATCAAGGAACACGAGCATTTTGTATACTCTGTGAATACACGTTGACACTCTCATTATATCCGTTATAGATGTTCGCCATTCTTCTACAGCTCGAGAGACACAGGGAACATCATCCACCCTAATGGACTGGATATTAGGGAAAAGGTGAGTCTTCATGTTACTCTTGGACTAGGTTTTACTTGTGTGTGTCTGCATAAGTGTGTGATTGAAACTTAATGCCCCAGTGTTTGTGTCCTGTTTGCCTTCATATTCTAACAGTTGTTAGAATATGAAGTTTTGTTTAAGTAAAGGAAATGAACTAAAAAATGTATGTATGGAGCCTTTATGCTGAAGTTGCCCAAATTTATATTTAGCCTCCTCTCTTATTGCAAAAATCATGAAAAAAAATATCTAGGCAACATTACCTGCATCCGTCCATATCACTTTTTTTTTTTTTCTAACTCCAGTCCAGTACTAAATCAACATTACCACACGCTAGATCATACCTGGAGTGCTAGAGGTTCGAGTTCTTGTCCAGAAGGGTAGTTAGTCATCTGTATCAGTTTGTTACAGCACATTTATTAATTTAAAGCATTCCGTTGTCTATGTTTATGTTACTGCATTATTCCGTCCTCTTGGTCACTTATTCAAGTTCATCTCAGATTAGTGTGCTTGTCCATGTACCACCAGGTGCCAGTTACCACAGGTCCATTATGAGGGAATTGCAATTTATCTCAGACTCGGAGATCTTGATACGTTTATTGTCTCCCCCATTCATTTTTTTCCCTCTTTCCATTATCCTTATATCACTGAATTTTGTTGTTGTTATGCTGGAAGAGTTACATTACTGATTTTTTCTTTCTTTCTTCTCTTCTTCCTTAGGTAGTGTTAAGAATTCAAGTATTTTTATTGAAATTTGGGTTTTACTAAGCATCTCCGTTTCTTTGCAATATGTATAAGCATGTTGTGTTATCACGTAACTGACATGTGTTGAAAATTATTTAAGCATGCATATCCAACTTCTTAAATACCACACTTTTCCCACAGAAATATTAATGTTATTTGCATTGAACTTTTTTTTTCCTTTCATTTCCTTTTCTTTCTTTCTTTCTTTTTCTTTTTTCTTTTTCTTTTCTTTTCTTTTACATCATGATATTTTCTCATAATTGTTCACTTTTCCTTATTCCCATCCTTTACTTAGTTTTTGTAAAGAGCCTTGTCTTTTTTTCTTTTTTTTTTTTTTTTTTTTCCCATTGCAGTACTGATAAGTAATATCTTGTTTTTTATTTCCTTAACTCCAGCACACCAAGAGTACTACACGTGTGAAAAGGGACACAGAGGCATCATCATCTTCGGACATTATCATGTGAGTTTCCCCGTTACCTCCCGTAATTTATCTCGCCTTACTCTTCTCTCTCTCTCTCTCTCTCACCCTCCCATTTCCCTTGTCCCCTCTTTTTTTTTTTTCTTTTTTTTCTCTTCTTCTTCTTCTTCTCCCTTCCCCTTTCCTTCCCTCCTTCCTTCTTTCCTTCCTTCCTTTCTTTATTCTTCCCTACCTGCCTTCCTTCCTTTTGTTTTCTCTTCCCTTCCTTTGTTTTGTTCATCCATTTTTCTCTCTTATCTCTCTCCCATCTTTACATACTGTATGTACATTCATAATCATTATCATCTGATAGCATTTGAAATCAGTTTAGAATGACCCATTAAGAAATATAAAGATATGTTCTGAACTATAAGTAACATTTACTTCTCTCAAACACAGGTTATGAAACATTTCCCGAAGAAAAGGCATATTTAATCCTAATTGCATTTTGCTCTCTCAATCTTCGAGCAGGATCATCTGGAGGCACAAATTCTTCCATTTTAAAGGGAGGGCTCGCAAGTGTGAGGAGGAGACGCGCGCATTGCAGATCGTCAGCTCGTGGCAAATCTTGTCAGTCGCTCGGATCAAGTCACTGACATTTTGGAAAGTTTTCTTCCTTCCCAAAAGTGCTATGTGATGACCCTTCAATCATTCCCTGCTGCCAACTTATGATAAATCCTGGATTTTCATTTGGCTTTTTTCTCTTTTTCTTTCTCCTCCTTCCTCTTTATCTCCTCATCTCTTTTTACTATTTCATTTATTTTTTATTCTTTTCTTTTTTTTTTACAATATTTATTGTAGTGTTCTTAAGCTTTTGAGGTCATTGCATTTTACATAATAATCTATGTATTACATTGTTATTTTCTGATGTTTCTCTTTATAAGAAAAGAACTTTGAATAAATTTATATCCTTTAAATATGATCAGTTAAAATTATTAATAGAAACAAAACTGGATATATAAAGAAAAAGAAGAAAAACACACACAAGCCTAAATGTACCATCATATCCAGCTTCTGAGGTGCTTAAGACGTTCTTAGTACAGACCAATCAGTGCGTTTTTTTCCCCATCTGAATTCCGTAACTGAATAAAGTTGATTGAAAAAGTTTTCTCCATTTATCAACGGAAAATGTTTGTGGACTCGGAGAAAATTTGAATGAATATATTTCCATAAAATCTTTCCTTTAGAAGGATCCATGCATAAAAACAAAAAAAAATAAAACAAAAAAATTAATACATAATGTAAAAACAATAAATACACTAATATGCAAAGAGTGAAGAGTCAGGTTTAGGGTCATCTATTCATAATTTCCATCCACTTTTTTTATATTATTTCTTTTTCTAGGTCACGGTGTGTAAGTGTTCCACAGAAATAGTGACAAATCGTTTCAGTTGAATTATTATTTTTCCATATCTTTCTCTTTATCTCATTCTCTCTCTCTCTCTCCATTTCTGTACTATCTTAAAATGCTTCAAAATTTCATTTTTATTATTATTGTTTAATTCTTTACAGAAACGATATATGACACTGTCCTGTCATTAGATGCTTAAGCTTGGACCTGCATTTAGACCTGCATTAGAGTTTAGAAACATTTTGAACACTTACATCCCAGCAAAGGTTATGAGTGCGATAATGGAAATCTGTTAAACAGGTTGACAAGACGCGAGTGAATGCCCAGTGAAGGGACGTGCTTGTTTATATTGAATAGTGTACAGTATGTGGAAAACTAAAGATATTTGTATTGTGAGATATTTAATAAATACAAGATTATATATTTGAAGAAAAGATTTAGCCTTTTTTTGGGCTTTGATGTTATTTATAATCCTTGTCTGTTTTCTTTTTCACAATTCCCATCCCCCATTCAACCCCTCTCCCAATATTTGTTTTTGTCTGGTATTTTGTTTCCTTGTCTCTTTTTTTTTTTTTTTTTTTTTTTTTAAATGGATTATTGTTATCATTGTTATCGATTCAGAGATGTTAATAAATTTTTAATAAATTTTGGCGGCTTTGTGAAAGAAACTTAGAGAGAACATCAGAATCCAATAGGTTACAAAAGGCCACAGAAAGGAACAGGAGAAATAATAAAAAAAGGAAAAAAAAAGTTTATATATATATATATATTTTATATCCAAGTGGGAAGCGGAGGTATATGATGAATCTTAACACCAACGTTGCCAGAAAAAACAAATAAGCGATGAACTTCTTCAGTTTAATAATATTGATAGTGGGGGAAAAAAAATGTTTCGGGTTGACTTCACCCATCTTCAATGTGACATTAACTAAATAAGAAACCATCATGAGTATATACAAAGTTGTGTCATTAATTTGTAACATTTCTGTTAATGACAATTAACAATGAATGAAATTACAATGGTTATCATATAAACTATTACAAGTAGAACAGAGTTGGCCTCATTTCGAATTTGACAATCCATAGTAAAAATATCTAAATATAAAAGTCAAACTAAAATTCCTCATATTCCAATTGACAAAATAAAATAAGATAATGATATCTGATAGTTAATTTGATATGTATTGTAAAGCATTTTGAGTGACTAATGAACACACAATATATATAATAAATTAAGAAATAGCAACATATAAAATTCTACAGTACAAGGTAAAGAATGTTTATACTGTTATTATAATATCACAATCATGGAGGTAAATTGACTTTCAATCTTATAATTGAACATAATAAGAGGACAAACTCATTTGGACCAAGCGTTACCCTTGATGAGAGTCAGTTGCAAATATTTCTGAACAAAATCAAAATTCTAGCTTTAATCAAACCAAAACCAAGATTATACGACAGTATGTGGCTTATAACACAAACGAAACTGATTGTTCCAAACCTAAAAAGAAAAAAAAAAAAGTTGAAATGAATGCCGCTGAGATGTGGGTGCATCCTTAAGCCAAGGCAACGGAGTTCTACCAAACCCAACAAACTTAAAGAAACAAAGAAGAAAACTGTTGTAGCCAACAAGGGGGGGACTTAATTTTTCAAAATCTTTACCTTACTAGTTCGATATCTGTGGATCTCAATGAGTACTTACATCCACAGATATCGAACTATCAAGGTAAATATTTTGAAAAATTAAGTTCCCCCCTTGTTGGCTACAACAGTTTTCTTGAACATTGGGCCAATGTTCAAGAGTAGCAAGTTTCACTGGAATCGGCCCAGATACAAGTGTAAGGTAAGGTAACCGTAACGCAGTACTGCTACTTCTCGTATTATACCGGGACAATTCCAGGTCAGTGTCCCTCGGAGATCTGTTCACCTTCCTTTTTACCTTAAATCACCACATGCGAGCACCACCCGGCCACCCCCACATCGTACATCGGACACGTAGTGGTAGCGGCCAAAGCGGATGAGCGGGGGAGTCCAGGTCACGGCACTCGCATACGTGAGGAAACAAGTTCATTTAATGCTAGGTAAATTATTTACTATAAATTCCCCTGTATATTTGCACAAGTATTTCAGAAATTCAATAGTGTTACGGCTGGTATGTCACCAAGAGAATTAAGGGGAAGAGCAGCTCCGCTCAAGGTTTATATAAGTACAGGTCTCGTCACTTCGGAGTGATAAGGGTGATAAGGCCTATGACGTCACCTGGAAGGAGCTGAGAGCAAGGGGGCGGGGGGAATTAGAGCATGGTAGGCAGGGACATAGATAATAGAAAATGGTAGTAAATGAGCAGATACTTGAGTAATTTCAGATGTCGGCACGTTGAACGATTTGCATATTGGACATGTTTTGCAGGCGATGATTATCAGCGATTGTTTGTAGGCCTATATCATATATTCTACGTGAATTTAGTTTTGTAATTCATATGTTGCAGCTTAGACATGGCATAATAAAGACGTAAAATAAATAAAAAAAAGACATGGCATATGTAAACTCCAAATGTTTTTGATGAATTTATTATAAAACGAATCATACAACAATAACAATAATAATGATAATAATAAAAAAAAAATAATATAATGGCAATACATAAACATACACATAAATGTACATATATAAGCTGCAACCAATCACTGGGTATTGTGGTTCTGCACGCGCCGGTCAGTCAAGCGAGCGAAAACGGAGAGGGAGAGATCCTTACGGCTCTCCCTCACATCAAAGAATGACCACGCGATTAGCGTCGAACCCCCAGGCTCTGCCAGATGACGTCATGCGCGACGGACGAATTTGAGTCCCTTAGTGACGAGACCTGTACTTATATAGACCTTGCGGGCAACACCCCGCATCTCCATCACGAAAGAAAAACATACGAGGATAAAACTCTTGACGGAAGGATAATAAATAAAACAATATCGGTGCCCATTTTCCGTTGGGTTCCTTGACTGAATCGTGCCATGGACTTGTCATACCAAAAAGGGGGGGGGTACCGTGGTAGGACAAGGAGTGGGCGGATAGTCCCACTACAACCCTCCCGGGCCCTGGGTCGTATGGTCCGATAGTTCAGCGGACCTACGACCTCCCTATGCACTTCAGGCCTTCTCATCTCACGCTCAGATGACTGAAAATTAATGAGACCACGAATAAAACAAGGATTCAAAACATTAAAATTAAGAGAACAAAACTGAATAAGACATTGAAATTAAGAGAGCACAAGTAAAACATAAAACATGAAAATTAGGAGAACAAAAATTAAAAGAATAAAAGACACCTACCGACTCGACAATGAGCGACTGAGCAAGCACACCACAGTACACCTTCAGTCACGCCATCTCATTCATTCCTCCCAAACCTCGTAGTCACTGTAATTGTTCGTTTCTGTGCTCATATCTGCACCAGAGTAAAGGAAATGATAAACACTAGGAGACCTGTTCAGGGTCCCGAATTACTAAATTCGTCTTCCGTCCGGTCATACCCGAAGTCATCAAGCACATGTACAGGTGCTGCTACGTCTGGGGACGGCCTGGCAACGGACCGTCAACACCTGGGGATCAGAAGGCAGTCTGTCTCCAACCTCAACATAGTCTAGTTCAGCAGGAGGGAGATACATTTTCAACTGATCTCTGTGCTGCTTCACTATACGATAAGGGGGCTGAAGGTCTTTAACCTCGAATACAACGGGACCTATTTGCTTGATCACTCTACAGGGACCTTGCCATCGGTCCTGTAACGCCCCTCCGGTAAAGTCCCTACGGAGGACGAGCGCACCTTCCTCCGGCTGCCAGGTAGAGCGAACTTTCCGATTGTGCGCCTGTGCATTGGCCTCTCTGGAACGGAGAGAAGCAGCAATGGCAAGCTGCCTGGCCTTAGCCAGCTGTTGCACCCTGAGATTAGTGTCCGTCGTTACTTGGTTGGTGAGTCCCCTGGGAAACAAGGCCATCTTCCCAGTAAGGAGGTAAAGAGGCTGGTCCCCCACCGAGCGATGTATGGCTGAATTTATGGCTAACCTTACGGAGGTCAGATATAGCGGCCACCTCCCTGGTTTATCAGCCACAAGCATAGCAAGGGCATCCTTCACAACCCTGTTTGTCCGTTCAACTAAACCATTTGAACTAGGATGATATGCTATGGTGAACGAACATCGTATCTCCAGCTGTCTACACACTTCCTGCCACTGTTCATTAGCAAACTCGCCCCATTGTCTGTCATTATCTGTCGGGTGGTCCAAAAAGGGTTATAAAGTGATCATAAAATCCCCGAAGAACCGTTTCTGCTGTCTTATTCCTGAGTGGAACGAGCTGCAAGTACCTGGAGTGGTGATCCACTATTGACAGAACATATCGATAGCCACCCACGGAAGCTCGGAGATCCATGAGATCTGCGGACACAAGCTCCAATGGGCCACTGGGTGGTGGACGACACTGCATCTCGGCACGTTCACGTGAACCTTTCCTGTGCTGACAAGCTGTACAGTGCTGCACGTACCATTTGCATAGCCGGAACATGTTTGGAAAGAAGTAGCTATTTTGCAAATTGTGGTATGTACGTAGAGCACCAGGGTGAGCTGCAGTAGGATGGTCATGAGCAAGATGTAAGGCTTGCGACTGCAGTGAATGAGGAACACACACCTGCCTGATAATTCGATCGGCAAAGATTTCAGGTGATATAAAACTCCATCATCAAGTTCAAATTCGTGAAGGGATGCTGGCAAGGCCCTTCTAGGAAGTTTCTTACCCTCTAAGAATTCTATGATCTCCTTCCAGAGGTCCTCTTTCAACTGGTACTCTCGTAACACAGCAGAGGCGAGTGGCAAGGTTGACAGGAGTGTCCGAGTTTACACTATGATCTCATTAACAGCAAGGGCCTCATCTTGTGAGCATGGCAGAGAGTCTATAAAAGGCCTCGACAGCAAGTCAGGAACATAATTTGATGGACCAGGTAGTCAGTGGAAGGCTCAATAACCCCTTGCTTAAGCATTGTGTCACACTCTGACCGTATCAGCTCCTTGGTTGCCTGAGGAAGACGCCACTGCCTAACGCACACAGGTTGATCTGTTTTAGTCACAATGTGGTGCTGTATACCAGGCACCTTACCGATAGTTGCTTTGTCCCCAGAGAAGAGTCGAGGAAACTTATTCAAAACTTTACCGAGTTCCTCTTGCTGCACAGAATCTAAGTGACCCAAATCTACCTGTTTACTTGGTGAATCACTACTTTCTACTACATTAATGCCTGATTTATTTGGAGAGAGGACAGAATCATCAGAGCAGGCATCAGAACCACTCAGAGCTGGAGTATCTGGGAAAACAAAATACTCTTCGTCTGAATAACCAAAGTCCTGTGTTGCATAATATTCATCAAGACTATCGAAACTAA